ATAGCAAGCCTATTTTGCACATAGGCGAATAGCAGTCCTTCAGCACATCCTTCTGCCACACCCTGAAACACATCAGACTAAAAAACTTATACCTTTCAGGTCTATCCACCACATCATATGTATTAAAATTTTAAAAAACTGCGAATTCTTGAAGCTTTCTACGTCCCTCGGTCTGTATTTTTTGTGAAGCGGCAACAAAAAAAATCACGTTGCATGATTTGATGAAAATGCACCAACCGCTCTTCGCGATCAAATTCCGTATTTCTCCATTCATTAAGTCGCTTGAGCACTCCTTCCAACCGAATTGCTTTTCGATTTGCCAATGTCGTCGGCTGCAATATTCAACAAACATTGCTGAGGAAATGGTCCCAGAAATTAACGTTACTGATTTTTATAAGAAAAAGATCAATTAATAAGTAAAAGAAAGATGTACACAAAAGCCTATAAAGATAAGTGCATAACAAGCAATTACTGGTCAGAAACTGCACACACCCATACATTATATATACACATATACGTGTATATACATATCACACATGCACTATATATAATAGGTATACTACATGCATATGATGTATCGGTGTGTGTACTGTGTCTGTACAAGCGCTTCAAATGGCCTGATCCCGCTGCAAGCAGGAACTTAGTCGACAGCGCGCCGGCTGTCAGCGCGACGATGCGTTTTCTGCACAGTTCCCCCACAGGTTCTTGTTGCTAATGGCACTGTTTTCTTCGGCAGATGCCTCTAGTTGAGAGAATTGATAGTAGCCCTCACGGCTATTAGAAATTATTACAGTGACTCCCAATTCATGACCAAAAAGTTCGGCACTCTAGGTGCTACAATTGCAGACTAACATCAAATTCAACGTGTTCGTACGATAGTGGCAACGTGAGTGCTACCTTCGCGTGCGACTGCTCAAATACGGTCCTGGGCAGCGCTCAGAAAGTTTCAGCACTCCAGCTGCTCTGGTTGCAGAGTTACGCCAAAGTTCACGTATGCGTACGTTAGACATACGTGAGACGTGAAAAAGATGTGCAAGTCGTTTTTGCATCCACCTAGTCAAAGGCCACCCTCGGTTATGCTTAGTAAATTTCAGTCCTCTGGCTGCTTCAATTCTGAAATTACAAAAGTGCACGCGTGGGACTTTCACGTGTCCGTACGTGAGATGCAGAAGGGCTGGAAAACTCAATTTACTTACATGGGCACAACAGTGGGCGACAAGTAACGCTGCAAAACCGCAGCTCTCTACAAATTTTGGGTCAACCTAAATCTGAAATTGGCATTACTTGACGCATGCTTACTTGAGACCTAGAAGTGCCTGAAGGCTGAATCTGAAATCTTCGGATTAGCCTCGGCCAAGGAAAATTTCTGTGGAGATTAAGCCTCTTAGCTTGCGCCGTCCCCGAAAACGCCTTCCCCTCAAAAAAACTTTCACGTGCATATACGTAAGCGTCCATTTCGAGGATGGAGGCCCGCATGCATATGAAGCTTAAGTTCCCAAAGTTTCAGCCTTGAGACTTTTGTGAATCTCGAAATGAAAACACGTTACGGATGCACACACATTCACACCCAGACGACCCCTCGAAAATATGCGTTTTTGCAATGCATAGAAGCAAAAACGCATAAAAACAACATACTTCGAGTTTTCCGCCTATAGTTGGTCTCTGTGCCTTCGGAATGAACCTGCGACGGAATGTTTTGGAAACCCACAACCAACCGCCGAGTGCACCGCGCCCGTTTACTCGGTAATTTTCATCGTTTTGTCGCCACAGTGTCCTTTTGATGACTGCTCCCACTTTGTGATATTTCACCCAAATCACTTCCTCATCATCCGCATCGGCTGATAGCAGATCCTGCAATATAAACGTTCCAACCACCAATGTTCCTCTATGGGCGAATTTTCGGAGACATAGGAATTCAGGATTTCAACAGCACAAATTTTTGCTGAATGAAATCTATCCCGAATATATGCACTATGGAGGTACTTTAGCATGGTCTGTGTGAACGGGCCATGCCAGAAGCAAATAAGGATCGTCGACGGTCCCTTTCTTGAAAAAAAATTGATAATCAAGTAAGAAGTAGACGGTTCTAGTCGACCTCAAATACACTACCTTAAATAAGCCTTCCGAGTCTATCATAGTACAGCGTAACTTCCAGTTATTCAAAAAGTCTCAATTACTCAGACGCGTGAGCATATGTGCGACTACCGGGCATTAATGAGGCGATTTTCTGTCAAAACCGTAAAAATTGAAAGTATAATCTTCGAATTTATTACAATTGATGTGAGAACAGACATTAGTTTAGGCGTGCATTAAACTGCTAACTCACTCTTTCCAGCTTCTTCTTTTTCGCCTCGTAATACTGGCGCCTTTCACGATCCTCAACAGTGATACGCATCAGCCGTGTGTGTCCCAATGAGCTCCACCAAACATTATGAAAAACCGGTCGTCGAATCGCACACTCAAAGCGCAACAGCAAATCTCTCAGTAATTCAACCGACGGTGGTGCGTTTAGACCCTGAAAATATTATTTTCAAGCAATTAGGCGAAAAAGACACGGAACAACGTGATGCAAATGGCAAGGGAGTGAAAGGAACTCAAAACGAAAACTAATGATCCACCACATCGCTACAAAAAATTACCTTCTTAAAATTGTCCAGGCCATCGCGCCTCCACAACCGATGCATCAAAACTGACGGTATTTTTTGGGCGAAACTTTCCAAGGTGTCCTGGATAACAGCCCCAACTTGATCTGGAGAACCAGCAATACTGCGCCCTTTCGCTTGTGACCACTGAAAACGCAGAATTTTTCCTTTCAGTCTTCAACTTGTAAAAAGAGTCACTCGCTCACAAATACGTAAAAAATAGACAAAATCACCTCGAATCCTTTTTCATCCATAAGCGAAAATCTTCCACACATGTATTTCCTTTTGTCCTTTTCTCGGGTTCTCTGGGTCGGATTTTTAGCATATTCATTTACTCTGTACTGATTGACGTAACGCAACAGCGTATCGCTTTCACCCAAACGAAATCCTGGTTCCAAAATGCTTTGACTGCCCAGAGCAGTCCCATCGCTTAGTGAAGCGGTAGCAATTTCGCACTCAATAGCACTTTTCTTGGTGATTACTTCATGCGCTAAAAAAAAAAAAAAAACAAATCGCAGCAAAATTAAAGTGCAAAAACAAAAAATCTTGTCGTTGAAGAAAAGTTTTTGTTACATTCGAAAAGTAATACTCTGAAACGCGGCGGTGAAAAAAAGATCATCGAAGCATCAGGGTATGAAACTTACTGTTATGAATTCTTAAGCTCTGCCGCTATCGGAAGCAACAAAAACGGAAAACATACTTTGCATACCAG